CTGAGCCGCTGGGACTGCAGCTAATCACACTAACCGTGCATTCGGTGTCCACTCCTCCATTACAGCAAACCGGATCCTCAGTAAGAGAGCTTACTGCAGGTTTGGGCTTTTTTAATGGTCACGGCGTCCGTAATAATAATATTTTACCTCTAGAACATGTGAAAGTTGTGCTTTTCTGTAGTTTTGGCATATTTCCTGGCGAAACGCCCACCCCTTCCCCCACCCCACGGCGTCAGGGCACCACGAATGTGTTTGGATAGGCACAAGAAGGTTGTTGTTTTTCTCAAAACACGAATGTGCTTAAAGTGTAACGAGAAAAATAATGAAAAGTATATTTTCGCCTGCTATTAACAATAAACAACGAAACCACTGGCGTCATATGGAGGATGGATCCATTAAATACATAAAGATTTTAAAACCCACAAATCTAGACATACTTCCACAGAACGCAGTAGAATTGGCATCAGAAAGGCCACCAAGAGGATCAGAATGCAGATTGGGGTTTGGAGGACCAGCAGCGGCTGCGGCGGCCGCGGTCATAGCGTTGGTATGGAGCACCCAGGCGCGTGGATCTATCGGACGTACCGGTTCTTGCCGCGAGAGCACAAAGCACCCGCTTCGTGGATTTGGATCCCAGCACTTGGCCACCACCAGGGTAATTGGACTGTAGAAACAATAAGGCACGGCTGGTTTATAGTATCTGGGAGATTGGAAACTGTGTGATCTAGGAAAGACTTAGCAGAAAGGAGAGTAGCTGAAATTAGAGGCGGGAGAGAGTTAATGAGAGCCAAATCTGAACATCTTTCGTCATGCAAGCTATTCGTACTTTCATTGAAAAATTCTGTTCAAAGCTGTAGGGGAAGATTACGGAGTTCCGCCATACTCGAGTAAGTTAACATCATGCCACAAAGCTGTTCAAATTATTTATTTATTAAAACGGTCATCAGGAAAATCCACTGGCCCACGCAGGTGGAAGATGAGTTTGCAAACACAAATCCCATTACTACACAAAGTTGTGCCCTTAACCCCGAAAACTAGACCTGGGAATCTCAAATCTCTGCCTCTACTTTTACCATTAGGTGTATGGAAAGATAACAAGTACTTCGAGCTCAGGTAACCAACCTCGAGGAAATAGGACTTAAGACAGAACGTGGTAATGACACATTGACATTGTGCAAACAAGAATGATCGTTTAAAAGGACATTTTCCCGTATATATTTGAGCTATGTCGAGTGAACTGTATCCTCTATCTGTCATTTGATCATCACAAAGTGAACAATCCCATCTGCAGTCCACAGCACACACAAGACTGGGTTTGCCTTTGAGGCTTGGATGTGTATGGAGGGATGACTGCTCCGCATTACAAGCCGATTAGTTAGCAAAAAAATGCAACTACGCAAAAAAGAAGTGCAAAAAAACAAGTTTTTGTTTAGTTGTGCACTCTGGATATTACCATGACTGCTTCCAACTGTTGCACCATTGACATTAAGCATTACTGACAGTTGCTGTCAGCATGTTAGGCATAAATTGCGTAATTAGTCGTGAAAAGTCCTCCATCGCTCCAACATGGAATAGAGGGCTTTTCCCAGTGCAAAACTTATAGTAAGGAGGGAATTGTTGCAAGAAGTGAATCCTTCAGTGCGATACGCGCCTTTTTTACCTCCACAACCAAGGTGACCTGGACTTCACAGCAAGGTCAACTGACGAACTCGATTTTGAGGGACAAAAACTAACAGCGGAGTGTCGCAACAATTGACTGCCACAATGCTCACATTGTACCCGTCTTCACCCTTCAGCAGTTCGAAAAGCCTTGAAG